CTGAGTCAGGCTGTATGCTCCCAGCTTCACCTTGAAGATTCATACACACCTTAGCAGAAGGTTGGTGGAAGGTTTTCACCCTTGGCAGGATATCAGAAGGAAATGTGGAGATTTAGTAAATGATGGTTGTCCAGATCTCCTTAATATGACCCTTTGAGAAAGGGGCTCAGGCATCTGTATTTCTAAAAGGCTCCAGAATTAATCACCTGTGATACGCAGCCAAAATTGAAAGCCATTGATCCAGCTTCGGTGATTACACAACAATTTAACATGAATAACATTTTCTTTATAGGAGCCTAGACTAGTTCATTCATTCAATAAATACTTTTGAGCTCCTACTACCAGATGAGCTAATGATAAAGCATTCATCTTTGGCTTCTGGCACATAGAAGCTGCTCGATACTTCAATTATATTCATCACCCCTTAATGAGAGTTTCCATGTTCAGGAGAGTGGGCAAAGAGATGGGAATACAGAGGTGAGGAGGTGCCAGCAGACTCTCAGCAGAGACAAGCAGATAAATAATTACTGGAAATGTGGAATCATACCCAACAAGGGTGGTGCCCAGTGGCCATAGGCAGGGAATGCTTTTCCAGCTGGTCTTGAGATACACAGTGGTGGGTGTGTGATAAGCATTCAGTGCCTTCCTACTGGAAGATAGGCCCTAGGCTAAGGGCTGGATTATGTCAAACTTTCTGGTCTTAGCAGTGTAACTGTCAGGCCAGGCTCAGTTTTCAGCTGAAGAGGAAAACTGGGGTTCAGAGAAGTAGATGCCCCATTAAGAGCCTGGTCCAGGGAGAATGGAGTCACACTCTTCATTCCCAAAATCCTCTCAAAAATGCTAGGTAGAAACCCATGATCCTGCACATACCAGTATGCCCTTACCCTTGCCCTGTGATGAGCCTATCTCAGGAGGTAGCAGGTGCACACAGGCAGTATGTCACTCACTTGCCACCTCTGAGTCCCACTTCCCCATGGATAAGGATGCCTTCCTCGAAAGTTGTTGAAGAGGGTTTAAGAAGGTAAAGTAATTTTCCAGCACAGGGAAGGTGCCCGAAGGTGAGATGTGCCTGATTTGCATCCCCCCCATCCTCCCCACTGTCCATCACAGGTCATTAAGAAGGAAAACTCCTTGGCTACCATTAAACAAGCATGTCTCTGGGCCAAATGCACCTGTAAGTCACTTTACACAACCTCCCCGGTTCAATTCTCTGTGCAGCACTGTCGTGTTAACATGTATGAAGAAGGAATCATGCAGAAAAGAAAAGCTCCACAGTGTAGAAGCATTAAAGGTGTAGAGGCAAAGAAGGGTGTAGAGGTGAAGTGAGGTCCCCAGGACCCAATCTTCTATGGAGAGCAACACTGAGGAGACTCGCAGACAGATGCTGGCCAGAACACAGGAGCCAGATGCTACTCAGCCTCCTGCTACATGGACACCCTGGCTGGTCACCACCTGTCTGCCATGGAAGCAGGGGGCTGGGGAGGGCAGGCAAAGCAGGAAGCAACAAGAATTCCAAGCTCCCAAGCCCAGTGATGATGATTCATCTCTCAATCCTCCCATTTGTGCAATTCTCATCTTTATTTCATGAATATTTTATTCTTAGAGCAAAGGCTCCACATCCCCATAAATCTAGTGGGTAGCTCTTTACTGCATCCTCAGAGCTTGGTGCACTCACCTGCAATGGGTAACTACTTAATTGACTGATTCCTCTGAAAAAATATGAGCTCAAATGCACATGAATATTAAGGGGCTGAATGCACATTACTACTCTTCCCCAAGTAGGTGTCTAAACTCTGAAGACATCCAGCACAAGCCATTAAACATAGCCTGAGATCCACCCAAAGACAGGCTTCCGGCTCTTAAGAAATATGGCCAAAGGCCCAAAATGAAAACATTCCAAGAGTAAGCAGACACTCTCACCTAATTGCAAATGCTGCTCTATAAAACCTGAGCAACAGTAACATGAAGTAGATTTAAATTAAATACCATCATTATTTTTCCAAGATTTTTCATATATGCTTCTAAAATACTGTTGTTTCAGCCCTTTCCTTAATTCCTATTCCTGACACAATGAGATTCTATCCCCTCAGCCTGGCCTGTAGGTACTTGGGAGCAGGGCCAGCCTTCTTCTCCAGGCTCCTCTATCAGCATCTTCCTCCTGCCCTCCCTCACTGTTAACTCTTTGTTCACTCTACCCCAAATGCTACTTCCTATGTCATCTTAGCAATAAGAGTTGTACTAATCCTCAACATCCCCAAGAAGTCTTCATTACACACTATCCTTACCCACCATGACTCCACCATGTGCTGGTTGGACTGGATGCCTCTCTGCACTTCAGTGCTACTCCCTGCTCACTTCAGGACAGCCCAGATCAATAAGATGGAGGCTTCATGGTGAGCTGTCTGCTGCATCTGCCTATGAGAAGGTATGTCCCTGAGGGGAGAGGCTTGGCCCCTGTAGGCAAGCTTATTAACGTGAGAAGGAAGAAGGTAGGAGAAACTTCATTTGAAAATTGAAAATCTATAAAAACAGGAAAGATGGAATGTTTCCATGCAGCTCTACAGAGCAATGCCACAAGAGGCAGAATGAATGGCAACCACTGTGCTTTTTCCCTGCCTCTCCATAAGCCTTCATTTCTATCTTGGAAACAAATGGGCTGCTGGGGCAGGAAGACCCACAGTTTGGAAGCAGGTCTCATGCCTGAGACCCTGGATTTATACAGAAGATAGAAGTTACTTGCTGGTGAGTAAGGTGTTATGCCTGACAGTTTGGTCATCTTGGTCTTAACTCTTTTTTTTTTTTGCTTCAACTTTCCCATCTATGTCTTTCCAATAATCTCTCTGAATCTATCTCTCTCTTCCTTCCTTCTTCTTTTACACACACACACACACACACACACACACACACACACACACCCCATGACAATTAATTCTGGGTAGTACAGGCTGGAGTTATCACTAAACAGGATAGAAAGCAGACAAGACCCCCCAGTTCAGAGCACAGCCTCTCCCTGTACCTGGCTCCCAGGAGATATGCTAGAGGGTTGGAACTTGAGCTAGTGTTTCTGTGCCCCACCCTGCCACACCAGTCAGCCACACCTTCCTGACAATGCCCACTCACCTGGAGACCCTCCTTGCTCCCTTGAACCAAGGGGCATGTACAGAGGGAATCGGATGGTAGACTTAGTATAAACAATACAGATAGGGGGTGCAATGTGGATCAGTTAGTGTTTGCCATCTGCCCTGTCCTCCCCATTCCTACTGTCAGTGGTTCTGGGACAGCCCATCCTGCCTGCCCTCTGATGCTTCTGTGTGTGTATAGACATGGGTGGTGACAGCAGGTGAAAGTGCCCTGTGGGGGCTGACACGATATACCAGTCAGTCACAGAGGGATGGGTAGAGCACTTCCTTAAAAGTACTTGCCAGAATCACTCAGTACCTTCCAGTGACTTCCTCATATAAAATTTTCTAGTTGAAAAAAAAAAAACCTTGAGATGGAACTATTAACTGCCCCTTTATCAGTGAATTTTCTTCTAACTTCTTCCTTCCTTCCCTCTTGTGGTCCAGGAGTGACAGCAGACCCATTGAGGTGGTGACTAAAAAGACCTTGTACTTCTTTACATGGAGGGGTAGGAAGGCAGGAGAGGAAGATAAATGCTGTCAAGACATTTCAGTACTGCCTCAGCAATGCCCTCCTTCCAAGGAAAGGAAAGTCAGATGACAGAGAACTGCCCGGAATGAATGGAGAGTCAAAAGAGGATCAAGGGGGACAGCCACCACTATCCTCTCCAGAGACTACTTTAGAGACTTGTGGATGTGGGTGTGGCCAGCCAAACACTGCAGACTACAGAGATGGCAACCAAGATGACCACTCTGCTCAGAGGCATCCTTTCCCGGTTCCAAATCAGGCTGAGAAGGATCCAACAAGCTCTTACCTCCTCCTAGCTATTTTTCTTTTCCACATGGTTTATTTTATCTTCTCCCTTGACCCTCTGCCTCTAAAGCCATTTTATGAACTTGTCATATGCCACCTGATTTTCCAATAAAAACAAAAGCAGGTAAAACTCTTTTAAAAATAGGAGCACTTTGGGATTTGATGCCACTTTCTTTATAGTTCCCTGTTTGAGATTTATATCCATTTGCCCCAACAGACTGTGTAAGCAGAGTTGTGATTCTGGGTGTAGCCGAGGTGTCAGTGGCAGTGACAGCAGATAGTGACAGCAATGGGTAGACTTGTTCCAGGGGCCAATCTGCAAATTCTCTGCTGGTAGAGCATCATCCATCACCAAAAGACTCCTTAAAACCATCTTTTTGGGAAACTGTCTCCAAAGGGCCCTTATGAAGGCTTCATTTAAAAAAGCTTTTTTAAATGAAGAACACCCAGTGAGACGGTTCTGTCAAGGGACAAAGGCCGCTTGTGGCTGACACACACAGGGAAGCAAGTGAACCCAGAGACCAGAACCTAGACAGAGGCACAACATGCCCTGAGGTAGGTGTAGCAGGACGCAAGTGGGAAAGGTTGGGCTCTGCAAGGATAGGGAGAGGGAGAAAAGAGATTGAGGTAAGGCGCAGGGACCCTGATGCTAGGGGAGAAGGGCCCCACGGCCTTGGTGAAAGGTCAAAGAGAATCAGGAAGGAATGGGGGCTCCTCTCTTACCCTACAGGTGGTCTCTCCAGGTCAGGGTGGAGGCACATGAGCGGGGCAGGGTGGGGAAGGGCTCTCTGGCGCTGCCCATGCTGTACCTGCTCTATAGATAAATACAGGATTTTAGTGGCCTCGGCAATTTGTTCCAACATGAAACCATTCCCTGCATTTTCTCTCTTGCTTTAAAAACAAAATGAAACCATGACATAGTTCCCCAATATAAAGTGCTGCTGTCTCCCAACAAGATGACTTGGGTAAATACTAACTGGAAGAAAACCACCCACCAAATGGTCCAGTGGGACCTGGCCGCCTGCCTCTAGGCACTGGAAGGGAGAGGCAGGACCCAGGGTACGGACCTCTTTGGGGGTCTCCTGGTGGCACCGGTTGCTGTTCCACCACAACTCCAGGGCAGCCACCAAGCAGGCCAGGAGGAGGCCAATGGCCAGGATGCAGAAGACCCCAGCAAAGCTGTGCAGCTTGAGGGATTTGCCATCAGCCTGGGCGCTGGTGTGGCTGGTGAGGTCACAGCGGCCTGTGTGTGGCCACCACTTCTGCTTGAGTACGTCCAGGTCCCCTGTGTCCTGCAGCTCCAGGATCCTGCAAGACACAACCCAAGTAAGCCGTAGCCACTGACCTTATAAACTTACCCATGGGGGTCTTGGCCCCTGTGTACCATGATGGTCCCACCATTAAGCCTTGATCTACCAAAGCAGTTTTCTACCTCATCTTCCCCTATAACCCATTCTCCACACTGCAGGTAGAGCGATTTTCCCAAAATATGCATAAGGTTTTGTCTCTGCCCTCCTCAATAACCCTGCTGCTGTCTCTGTCCTATTGCCTATGAACAAAGTCCAATAGCAAAGGATGTTGAGATTCCCATGGATTACGGAGCAGGTGCTCAAGATAAAACTGGGAAATACAGAAATGAATCAGGCAACACTCAGACTGTGAAGTTAGGACGTTCATGGTCACAAAATGTTTTCTGTCAAACTTTAGTAACTACAGGTGAGCATCCCTAATCCAAAAATCTGAAATCCAAATGCTCCGAAATCTGAAATTTTTTGAGCACCAATAGGATGCCACAAGTAGAAAACTGCACACCTGTCCTCTGATGGTTTAATAAATATAAACTTTCTTTAAAATATTATATGAAATTACCTTCAGGCTATATGCGTAAAGTATACAGAAATTGATTTCATGTTCGTTCCTAGGTCCTAAGCCCATAACATCTCATTACATATATGTAAATGATCCCAAATCAGAAAAAAATCCAAAATCCAAAACACTTCTCCTAAGCATTTCAGACAAAGTATACGCCACATGTCTTCCCTAAGTCTCTGCCACTAAAATTTACACAATCCTTTATTCACTCATTTGATTTGAGGTTCTTGCACACTGTGCTCAGTATGATGCTTAGTACTGCTGACTGTGTGTGGTCTAGAGACACAGATAATGACCTTAGGACAATTAGAGCAATCAGTGTAAAGACAGAGAAGGTGATGAAAACAATGAAATGAAAGTAGAGGTGCCAGGAATGGCACCTTTGGGGCGGCTTAGCATGAAAGATTAAGGAAGAACTCATGGAGGAGGTGGCAGTTAAGTGAAACCTGAAGGCCAATTGGTCACAAGGTAACTCGCACTGGTCTAGAACATTCTAGGTACCACGAAGTGTCTGTCCCAAGTGCTTTGCAGATAGTGTTAAATACTCATGTCAACCCTCTGAGATGTGATTTCATTTTTACAGAGAAAGAAACTGAGGTACAGAGAGGTGAAATACCTTCCCAGAGGTTGGCAGGGTTAGCATTTAACAAAGCAAGGAAGAACCTTCCTGGGACTAGAATCACGTGTGAATATCTTGTTCGGTGCAGGGGCTTGTCATGTTTAAGCAACTGCGACATGGCCAGTGAGGCCATAGAGTGGTAAGTGAGGAGGAGGACCACACAAGATGAAGAGAGTGAGTAGAGCTCTTGTCTGGTTCATGAAGATGTATTTGGCTAACAACACCTGAGTGACCTTCTTGTACTCTGGGTATGCACAGTTAGAGAGAAGCAGTTCTTCAAAGCCAGGAGAAACTCATCAGGCTGAGCAGTATCTGCCCCACACTTGCATTGCAGGCCAGCTGTGACTGCAGGTGTGAGGCTATGCTCAGTTATCATACATTTCATCGGGTAGAGACAAAGGGTAACAGCCTGAGGGGTCTCCTGACCTGTCAGCATTATAGGCCTAGCATGGCAAGGCTTCTCACTGGCAGACAACAGCCTGGCTTAGAACAAAAAACAGGCTGAGGAGGCACCAGATCTCAACATGAGTCCCTGGACAAGGGACCTGCCCCTGTTGAGCCTCAGTGTCCTCATCTTTCTGACACAGACTGTGAGCCCCCACTAGATGAGTAAGACAGAAGCCTCATGACAGACCTGTGTATTCCTTTCCATATTTTTCATGTACAAACCCAGTGGCTGGCACAACTAAGGCCACGAGCAGATGTTTGTTCTGTCAATAAATGTGTGAATATATATCATCGAATAATGAAAACTAACCTAAACTAAAATGGCCATGGTGAGATCATGACATAATGTCTATCTAGTGCTCAGGGTACTGATAGCCCAAAAGACTTAGCATGTGACCGTGTGTGGAGGGTCTTGGTCAATGAGATAAATGCATGCTTCACATATCTGTCTATGTGGTTTGGGGCCATGCTTGGAATACCCCTGAGCACCACAGCTTTCTCTGATGGCACATGACATGATTAACTGGGCAGCTGCAGTGTCCTCTCACATCTCACACAGCCCTTGTCAGGTCAGGGAAGCTACGTGACTATATGTCCAGTGGCCTCAATTCTCTGTTGGCAGGGTTGAATAGGTTGAACTTCCTGTAAGTTATAGGAACCCCAGTGCCAGATATGAAGGATCTCAGGACACTGGAGAGGACAAATGGTTGAAATATTGGCTCACCGTGGAGAGAGCACAGCTTTGAGTTTACAGACACAGACTCTGTGCTGATGGACATTGGTCCAAATCCAGACTCTGAACCGCTCAATCTTATCTCTCTCATCACTAAAATATGAGATTAAATAAAGGTACCAACCTCATAGATCATTAGCTCACAACCTGGTGAGTAATAAGAGTTCCATAAAAGGTAGTTAGTTGTTGCACAGTCTGATGGACATACTGACCAAGAACCTTATCAGGCTAGTGTTGATATAAGCCATTTCTTACTGAGGTCACAATAGGGGGCATTGTTTATACTGTTTGAATCCTTATAACAGCCTGCAAAGCAATTCTTATTATGTCTGTTTTACTTTTTGAAAACTTGAGGCTCGGAATCTAGATGATTTATTCAAAATTGCAATTAGGAGGTAGCAAAGCTGCTCTTCAGATCTGGATCATTCTGATTTGGGAAGCCATGTTCTTTCTGGAACAACAGGCTGTTCTCAATGGTCCAGTTCTGGTCTAGGGGCTGGCAAGGCTCTGGCCAGATTGTGGAGTTGGATCCCCTGTCCTTTGCTTACTAGGCAACTCCTGTGTGACACTGGGCAGGCTTAATTTTGTTGACCTTCTCTTCTAGCTCCCTATAATTGTATGTATCTTTTATGTCCACTCTTATTCCAGAAGGAATTAAGGTAATTTATAGGAAAATGCAGAATCAAACAAAAAGAAATTTAAATACAGAAGCAATAGAAAGACAAATCACAGCTATAAAGTACCCTCTAGAATGAGGCTACTAATGCACAACATAATCCATACTGCTGCTTACTAGGAAGCCAGAGGGATAATAGCCACTTCCTGAAGCCAGTTGGTCTATTTTCCAGACAGATATAATTGCAGGTGCTTTCCTTTATTCAATAGTTGTGGAGCCTGCTACACAGTAGGTGCTCAATAAATGGCTATTACGTTGCTAAACATTTATTGAATGCCCACTCTGCATGCTGAGGTCTGCAAACCTGTTATAGCACATTACTCCCACCACACACACATACAGCTATGCTCTGTCCTCTGCCAAAGCAAGAAACAGCTCCCAGGATGAAAAGAAAGACAGTTACGGCAGTTCTGGATAAGTCTGGGCTCTTCTATTTGCACAAGAACCTTTTTTCTTGTAAATGACATGGTGCCTTGCCCCTGGACCGTGCCCTTCTCTCTTCTGAGGCATACTCAAGCTAAGAGCAGCTCACAGTTCTCCATGTACCATACAATAGAACCTCTTCTAGAACCACTGGTAATGGTAAGTTAGCAAACTCAAGTCTGAGGATTCCCTCCAAAGCAGATGCCTATCTATTGGGAAGAGGGATGCTACCAGTCCAGGAAGACCTGCACCATGCAGGCAGATGACAATACTGCAGGAGGCCAGCACAGCCTGCTGAGGACACTTACTTATCATCATAGATACTCAACCTTCTGATCAAAGCAAAGAGGTAAAAATTTGTTCTTGCCAAAATGATATGGAAACTAGACTAGCTGCTTTTGTTTATGGTGATGACTGGGATGACAGAGAGAAGCTCACAGTATCTCTGGGAAAGAATTTTCCATGGAGACCTCACAGTCTTTGAGTTGACCAATCATGTACAGACTTGTTCCAGTACTAACCTACCTCTCTGGGGCCCTATACCCATATGCTGGTCTTGGTCCACTGCCTTTTGGTGCCATAAAAAGGGCATCTAATTTCTTTTGCTTCCAGCAAGCCTTCTGGTATTGGAAGAGAACAGCCACACCCTCCTCTCCCTTTTCATCTCCTTCTCCATATCCTCCTCTAAGCTAATTTGGGCCACCTGGCTGCCCTGTATTTCAAGCCAGGACACAAGTTTCCTGGTCAATGGCTGCTCTCTACTGTCTTCAGTGCACCCACATTCACTTCTGCAGACTTCCAGTAGATAAATGAGCAATGCCAACACACAGGACTCTAGCCTCCCTTGCTGGACCCCTTACTTCCAGGAGTACTGTCTTGGGGCACATTGGCTGTTTGGGTGTTGCTGCTGCATTGGCCCCACAGGCACCCTTACCATCTGTTCCACAGAGATGCTCACAGGTTTATGGTCTGTGCAATCTCCCTGAGCCTCTCATCTAGGAAAAACAACTCACACAAACCTCAAGAACACCAATCAATGTGTTCTAAATCCTGAGGAGAAACCATCCTTTCTTCATGCCTTTAATCTAAGCAATACAGAAACTTCTCTTTTGTTATTACTCTCTGCTCCAGGAAGCAGAGTAAGGCAGAGAATATACACTTGACGAAATTCTAGCAAAAACTCCAAACCTTCATTTACTTTAATTAGTCCTACTCTTTTACCCAGTTTTGCAAGCAAGACACTGATTGGACTAGTTGCAAGCCTTCCCATTATGGATCTGAGGCTCGGGGGCTGATGAGCAGAGAAGGGACCGATCTGGACTTTTAGGATATAGGAGAAGAGAAGGAAGTAGGGTTTGCAGATCCAACAGCAACACAGGTACAGTGCTGGAGCTCAGGAGATCTCCATTCTACTCCCTGCTCTTCCAGCAGCCAGCTGAGCAACCATGGTTGGCCTTTACCTTCTATGAGCTGCGGATGTAAAACAGTTGTTTTTAAGAACTCTTGCACCGCCCTTCTCAGCAAGGGAACTCATGAGTTAATTAGACAAGGGGGGTGCCCCTAAGTCTGGTACTGTGCCCGCTTTTTCACTTAGATACTTCTGTCACATTTTGAATTTTGGTTGACTTTGAATTTAGTTTTCCTCACTGGTTCTGCAATTCACTCACTCACTCATCAAGATGCTACCTCACAGACATATCAAGTAAGGGACTCTAGATTTATACCTTCTTGGGGATGGGAGGCCCTGTTGACAGGCTACCTACTGAGAAAAGACCACTGAGTTTACCCAAGCCCTTCAGTTTTACTTTCTCTGGCTAAGGTCAGGTCAGCTGGTCCAGGACCAAGATAAACTGCTATGGCAGAAAATGGGGGTGGGATGACGATATATTATTGTTCTCAAGAAAGCAGTGCACATGCCTGGATTATGCACTTGGAAACCTGATCGTGTCCAAGGGTCCAGAACTGAGCAGGCTCAAGGGATGGACTCACACCAGCAAATCACATATGAAACTTAATGGGCAAATGCAGGCCAGACTGTGTTTATTTCTTGTGGAATGTATCCATGCACTTTGCTTAGCTTCGGACCCTCCAGTCTGTGTAACTATCCTCTCTACTTCCTACTCAATGCTCCTACTTTTTCCTAATGTTAATTACCAAAGAAATTGGAATTAACTCTCAAATGATGGTTTGGAAACCTGGATTCTGATTTGGGGAGGATGGGGAAGAGGCAGGTAATGAGTATCTGTATTCTGCCGCAGAAGGCCAGGTACACTCCTGCACTAGCAGGTAACATCTCTTTGGACCAAGAAACTCCTATCACACAATCCATGAGCCCCCTTGGACCATGCATAGGTGAATATGGAGACATTCTGCTTCTCTGACCCCATTGTTTTAAGTCTCCACATTGATGATCGCCACTTTGAAGATACATTTATCTTTGAAAGTTATTATTATGACACTCTTAGATCCTATTCATTATTGATTTATCTGGCTAACTTTTAGTGCTCCTGCATGCGTCAGATGTGGCACCTCTGGAAAGTCCTCTTGGGTTTGGCCAGATGCCAACCCTAGCACCCTGAGAAAGTCATCATCAGTGCACTGATGCCCTGGGCTGGCATTGTCTAGTCACACAACAGTCCCAACAACACTATGCACTTTCATAAAAAGGAACTATATACTTCATATTTTCATCCCAGACCTACACAGGGCTTAGTTGGAAGAGGATGTCTAACTACATAATTGATGCTTCGGAAGATGTGAAGTATAAATGAGTGTGTGTTGCATTTTATCTCCTATGGAAGGATATTCTCCTATCCCAGCTGCTGGAGTCCTGAGGTTGTGGAGTTGCCTTGTTGACCATGCCTACCTCTGGGAGAAGAGGTCCCTGTAGGGGCTTCCATGCTGCAGGGCGATCCCGTAGCCCTTGCTGCTGATGCTGTTGCCGATGACAGTCACCGAGCAGTCGTCATCTGTCAGGGCTGCATACTCCACCACGGCCACATCCCATAGAAAGGCATAGTTCCCCTTCTTTGCCTGAAAGACCCAAGTCACCATGAAGTCAGAGGGGCCTTGCTCTGCTGAGTTAGTTTCAGGAGGTAAGACATCTCAAAGGCAGAATTTGGACCTATCTAAATTGTCCTCCTGCCCACCAGACAACACAGCAAACTCTACTATTTTCAGATTGATGCCACTCACCTTGCTTACATATAAAAAGATGTGCAGGCTCCAGCTACATCATATCCTATGAAGGGGGATGAGCTGAAGGTGGGTGAGTCACAGTGGCATGGACCCATTTCTCAGATTAGAAGACTCACCCCTGGAGAATACATAATGTAACACCAAGGGATTGAAATTTTCAAATTGGATCTATAAGGGGAGCATGTTAGCACGGAGATGGGCAGAACTCCCTCCCTAGAGAGCAAAGCCCTAGGGAGCAGGCAGAATAGGACTGTGATAAATCTTGTCCACCTAATATTTCTGCTTAGAACCTGACTAAATCCTGCTTAGGGTGAACATGGGCAATAGCTCTAGGTTCAGTACCTATAGGTGGCCATGACTTAGCTCTGGCACATGTCCAGAGCTTGCTATGCATGGGGATGAGCCTGTTAAGAACAGGACCTGATCATTATGCTGCCATGCCAGCCTAGTTTCCTTTCATGGCCACACATGAGGTTAAGCACATGTACACACACAAACACATGCATGTATGCACTGCACACATACAATGCACATGTATGCACATGTGCACACACATACACATACAGGAGCAGGGTTCTGGGATTCATGCTCCCATACGGGGCAACAGTTACAGGTTATTCCATCAGGAGTCTGCCTGCAGCACAGCTGAAGTGCTGCTCTATCAAACCCATCCGCAGCAGACATTTGCTTCTATCTTGAGTCATAGTTCTAACTTTGACTAGAGTTTGGGCACTCAGAGAGAATGTGAACTGCTTTACTTTTTGGAAGGAGATGCAAACTAGACATCCTCACTTGGCCTTCTTAAAATAGTGTATAATGTTCTTAATGCAGCGAAGTGCCCAGTTTTCCTTCTCTAGTGAGCACACTTATGCATCCTGCTTTTTCCATTCCTCCAACCATGGCTCACTTATACTAGATGCTGGAAGTGTGGGCCTGGTAATAGGGCTGAAGCACCACAGGCAAAAATGGCCAAGCTGTCAAGCTACAACCTTCTTGCACCGTCAAGGGCATTGTTCTTAGCTCCTGCCTTTGTTCAATGGAGTCTTCATGTCCCCTGACCTTTTCCAAGAAGCATAATGGATGCTAAGATGAAAATCAGGCTTTTACTTCTTTGTGAGAGAGAACTTGAGACAGGATCTTGGCTATGTAGCCAAGTCACAGACTCAGCTTCCCCAGATAGGGGACACCTAATATACCAAACCTCGGCCTCTAGGGCAGCCAAGAATCTCCTCTTTCCTTGCTCTCACTCTTTGCTCAGGGTAGCATCAAACTCACAATCCTCCTGCTTCAGCCTCCTGGATGCTGGGATTACAAATATGTGCCATCACTCCCAGAAGGATTTTACTTATTTCAAGATCATAGTGCCTGTGGCTCAAGATGTCTAATTTTTTTTGTCAGATTCTCTCCATCAGAAGGATTTGTGGACCAAACATGACCTTCTACAGTGGGAATAGGCTGTTCCTAGCCTTTCACAAAATTTTACCCAACCACATTGTAAGAAATGACAAATATGTGTGCCACCAATTGCCTTTAACCTAAGGGAGCAATTCAAATACTACACCAAAGTCTCATTCCTCAACCAAGCCAATTTCAGAAGTCCTAAAGGACTTTGACCCAGGTTGCAAAATTATACACATCTTGCTCCCTCCACATAGGAAGATAACAGTCTTTAGAGTTTTTTCCTGCTGGCAAATGAGTTTTCTCATGAAAAGATATAAATTTTCAACCTCTTAGTAACCAAGTTTCTCGGCAAAATGTTGACTTATGACCTAATACTTGGCTTCAGTCAGACTTTGGAGCATTTCACATCTATACTCGCAATTCAACATGACAATCAGACACTGTTATTTGTATGATTTCAAAAGGGCACGTCATGTTGAAGGAAGAATTGAGATCAGCTTCGTTTCTACCTTTCAAGTGATGTTCAAAGAAGGAAAAGAAATGAGCTGGCTCAGGTAGAGTGGCAACTGACTCCAAGGCAAGCCTACTGTGGCCACCAGAATGGTGTACTTGAATTCTTTAAGCCACAGCACTTGTGGTTGCAAATTGGGCTCAGGGGCAAGTAAACACAGCTGCATGAAAAACCTGCATTCATAGTCCTACTGGACTACACTGTGAAAGACGAACTATCTGGAAACTGGGCCGGCAGTGTCCCAGCCTCAGATCCCTGCTAACCAGGAAGGCAGTCCAGAAGACAGGGGAAAGCAAGAGTTTCTTTTTTTGACCTGCTGGGTGACCCCAGGCATCCAATGTCCCCATTTGTAAACAGTGATTAAATTTACCAGTATATATCCTGTGTCTGCTTCAGGAGGCATGTGGCTAGGCCCCAAATCTGCCTGACAGTGTCAGAGCAGAAGAACTTGGAGAAGATGTTGTGCCATATTTTGTGATAAGGCCAAATAAGAAGCTCTAACTGCAGTGGACAGAGCAGATTCTAGCTCTCTCCTATGAGATACTCTTTGTTCCCAACATCTCTTTCTCATTTCCTCAGCATCCCAGAGCTCCCCAGGTGTCCTCTCTTAGCCTCATACTGAGAAGAATGCAGCACCAGAATCTCCCCACCTAAAGTCCCCAAAGAGAATATTCTGGACATTGTAGACACATCCCCAACCATTTTGGTGTATCATAGAGGCTGTATGACACATAAACCTTCTTAGGTCTGACCATGTTGTCAGAAATATTTCAGATGCAGCCATAAGAAGTCCAAACACCACTACCCACGATGGCTCTTTATCTTTGTAGACTTCTTAACTGCTCCTTTGCGGAATGAGCTCTTTCTACTCCTACCATCCCCACACACACACCCTAAAAATCAAAGATGCACTTTTTCATTGTAAGGTTAGAATCAGTTTTCCATATCACCCTTAATAATTATGACACAATCTCCTTACTTTGTGCTATTTGATCACAGGATTGGCTTCTCCATATGGGAGACATCTAATTTATCAAGATGCTGAGTCCAGGAGAGCCAAGAATCTTAGCTCTTTTCTGCTCTTTCCATCACAAACTCACCCCTCCTTTCTTGAGTTTCAGCATTCTGCTTCTAGGTTCAGCTAAGCTTCTGAGGGATAAGCTTCTGTTTCATCTCTGTTTTCATTAGGACAGCAAGTCTATTCTCTCTTCATTCTGCATCCCTTCAACAACATTTTGGAGATCTCTCTTACTAAGAGACTGTTAATTCCTTGTTTATATTAAGTACTCTTTTCTGTAAAGGATTTTCTTCATGTTCTTGGGAAAAAACAGTACAGGCAGGTATCTAGCCTGCTCTCAACTGTGCACCGTGGACTGGTGCTCAAAGAGAAGGTGAGCCCAGCCACCTCCCTGAAGTGTCCCACAGTCTCCTCACTGTTTCAAAACAGATCTTTAGAATCACTATTTTTTGCCACTTCCTATTCATACCAACGCTTTCTTCCTTGTATCTCCTAATGTGGTCCTTTCCCTTCTTCTGAGGAGGCTCTGTGGGGAGCTAGGGAGAGCAGGCATATAGGCTGTGAGCTGTTTACAAACAGATTATTGATATTTATTTCATAATGCCAAAAGAATGAAGGGGTGAATTTAATTAAGATACATTGTAAGCAAATATATAAATGTCACAATGAACCCCACCATATAACTATTATATGCTATTAAAGTATTAAAAAAAAGGTCAGTGGTGCTGCAGCTTTGTGTTCTGTTATTTAAAACAAAATAAAACAAATACCATATTTCATCCTTACACTGGGTTGAATTATCTTTATGTGGTCAGTCCACTAATAATAGTAAACATACTCTGAATTTCTATTTCTAATTACTCACTATGTATCATGTGGCTATTGGAAAGTTAGACCATAGACAAGTTTGTTCATACAGCCAGCCTCCTCTGAGCCCATGGCTCTCTGTAGTTTCTAGATGGGAATTAAGAGCCAGCACTCAGTTCCTATGACCCCAATGAGCACCTCAGAACTAGCTCTAGGATTCTGAAACTCAAGCCTAGGTTTTTTCAAGTGTTTTAGAAGGCATTTTGCAGGTTATTTAAAACAGCTGAGATTTTAAAGTTAATCTAGCCTACAAATGTAATTTGTCTACCTTTACAGTGTGTTTTTTATTGATAATATCCCATGTTGGTGAAGTTATAGAAAAATGAGATTATTCTTCATGGTCACTGGCATCACAGAATCATACAACCTTTTGGAAAGTAATGCACCAATATATAACATGAGCACTCAAAGTTGCTATATCTTTTACTCTATTATCAAGTTTGAGTGTAACCTAAACAATAATCCAAATATGTCTAATATGACAAATATTTGAAATATTTCAAGCCTATTGTTAGCTATAAAGCAACCATGTGAACTGTTTAAATATTCAGTGTTAGGAAATAATTTAATAACTTATGGTTCATGAATATGGTGAGATCTTATGCAACACATACTAATTATGAAGACTGCATTAAAACTGTATAAATAGTGCCAAAGTGCTTGGAAAGTCTCCCTGACATCCTTGGCCTGCTTCTAAACATTTTGCTTCATTTTGTTCTTCCCCTTCCCCAAAAATAATTAATTAACAAACAAAAACCATTAGTACAGACATAAAAAGAATAGATGTGAGAGAAGAAAGAAGGAAGAACACCTTTGGCAGTGGAGAAAGTCAAAGGCAATCTGGGCATCCATCCACAGGATGCCAGGACAAAAGCAAGTAAGAGGACCACTCCTGACTTATCTCCCTGAAAGCATCTTAGTAAGAAGAATTCAAGCCCATCCCTGATGTTCACTCCTTTTGCACTACAAGTTTGTAAATGGAAAGCAATGTTGACCACAAGGGTATCTGATCCCAGCACTTTCAACATCCTTCCTAAC